TCCTCCCTCTCTCCTATTTTCTCTCCTTCCTTCTCTTTTATCCCTTCCCTCCCTCTTTTACCCTTCCATTCTTCCTTTCCTCCTTCCTTCCTTCCTTCCTTCCTTCCTTCCTTCCTTCCTTCCTTCCTTCGCTCTTTGCCTTCCTCCCTCTCTCCTGCTTTCTCTCCTTCCTACCTTCCTCCCATCTTTTTATCCCTCCCTCCCTCCTTGAAATCCCACTCACTGACTTTTCCCCTTTTCTCCCCACAAGGCTTATCCTGCTCACGGTGTTTGTGCTCCTGATGTGCGGGATCGGAGCCAGCTGTGCCAAGTTCTGCTGCCGCACCAAGCACCCCCTGCGCCAAACCTTCCCGCCCCGGGCACACGACCTCACCGTCATCCCCCTGGAGCACGACAGCACCGCCCACAGCACCGTCACCTGTAAGTAAACCACGATGGGCTTCTCTTTTTCTGGGCCTTCTCTAAAAATCCCGGAGTTTTAGGCGTGATTTGTGGGGACCATCCTCCACGGCCACGGGAGCAGAATCCGGGTGCTTGGCCACCGTCTCATATTTATGACTGTCGCAGCGTCAGCGGGGCCCACGCAATTCCCCTTTTGCGACCTTCTGACCAGCCGAGTCAGCAGGGAAGGCAGGTTCATTTAACAATCGGTGCGACTAACCATTAACCACTGTAATGATTTGCTTAGCAACGGATATGTTTCACTCAATTGTCATAAGCTGAGAACGATCTCTATTGCTTTATCTATTCTTCTCGTTTTCAGCTTTTATTCTTGCAAGCTGCCCGGAGTCCCTAAGAGGGAATTGGACATTTTCTTAAATTTAAATAGAGTAGAGTAGAGTAGAGTAGAGTAGAGTAGAGTAGAGTAGAGTAGAATAGAATTTAGAATAGAATAGAATAGAATAGAATAGAATAGAATAGAATAGAATAGAATAGAATTCTTTTATTGGCCAAGTGGGATTGGACACACAAGGAATTTGTCTTGGTGCAAATGCTCTCAGTGTCCATAAAGGAAAATAAAGAGTCAAGAATCATCACGTGCAACACTTAATAATAGTCATAGGGTACAATAAGCCATCAAATCATACTAGGAAGCAGTCAATATAAATCGTAAGGATGCAAGCGACAAAGTTACAGTCCTATGGTCACAAGTGAGAGGGGAGGGGTGATAAGGAGTGATGAGAAGGTTAATAGTAATAGTAGTGCAGACTTTGTAAATAGTTGGACAGTGTGGAGGGAATTCTTTGTTTAGCAGAGTGATGGCGTTCGGGGGAAAAACTGTCCTTGTGTCTAGTTGTTCTGGTGTGCAGGGCTCTATAGTGTCCTTTTGAGGGTAGGAGTTGAAACAGTTTATGTCCAGGATGTGAGGGGTCTGTAAATATTTTCACAGCCCTCTTTTTGACTCATGCAGTATACAGGTCCTTGATTGAAGGCAAGTTGGTAGTAATTGTTTTTTTCTGCAGTCCTAATTATCCTCTAAAGTCTGTGTCTGCCTTGTTGGGTTGCAGAACCAAAGCAGACAGTTATAGAGGTGCAGATGACAGACTCAATCTATTATTATTATTATTATTTAAAAAAAACATTACAGGACAGCCTAATGTTCTGCTTCATTGTTTTGACAGCCTACAGCTCTCTCCAGTACCCTCCCAACGTCTCCCTGCCTTTTGGAGACCCGGATAGGAATACCACCTGCCCTCCAGCCTACAGCCTCTACGCCATAGAGATGCCCCCCTCTTACGACGAGGCCATCCAGATGTCCAAGCCTCACACCGAGACTCTGTCAGTGGGCCAGAAACCAGAGAGCGGAGCCTGTGAACCAGCAGCCTCGCCCAAGTTGCCCGAATCATCCCCAAACTGCCCCGTGGAGGGGCAAGAGAACACGGGGGACGCCTCTACGTCCTCCCCCGAGCAGTCGTAGTGGGGGTCTCTTCGATAGGGGAGCGAGAGAATACGGACCTAAGTCACGGGCAGAGGAGGGAAATTTGTATCCTCTGGACTGGGATCTAGCATCTCCTGCCACTTCTGAGTACCGTTGGGACTTTTCGAGGCGATGGAAAGAAGATCCTTGCCTCCCGCGTCTGAATTTTCCAAGGTGAAAACTAACGAGCCTCCCTCCGCCCCCACCTTAGAGGTTCAGCTGCCTTGAGTGCATTGGATGAGCAGAAAATGGCCTTTTTCACCCTTATAAACCGTTGCAGCATTCGGCCGCTGGACTTAAAAGGGGTCTGCATCCTGCCGTCGGGAGGGGTGAAATGAAAAAAAACAAAAAACGAGAGCCAGTACAGATTAATCTCTCTTTCTTCTGGGAAGACTGGATTTTCTAGCAAATTGCTGAAAGATGGGATTCGTTGCTATGTAACGGCCAAGCTTGGACCCAGAGCCCTTTTTAAAAAAATAAAATGAAATCCCTACTTCTGCTTTTGATAGACTGAGAAAATGTTTTCACGATACCAAGGTTGGAAACTTTTGTCACGTTTTGAATCCTCAATCCAGACCAGAATATCGTTTCTCGGTTCCTGCGGGTCTCCGAGGACAGGTTGCTGTGTCCAACTGGAATGTGAACTTTGGAATGTGATGCTGTGTCCAACTGGAATGTGAACTTCGCGTTGGGAGATTTGGAGTTCTTCCTGTGGATTTATAGGACAGTGCCATCTTTTCGCCAAGAAGCCCTTGTTGTATTTTGAATCTAGCAATATTCTGCTTGGACCACGAAGCATTTTGTATTTTAGGTATTCGTCTTAAAAAATGTTTATGTTTATCTCCCCCCCTTCTCTCTGTGTATCTGTTGTAAATAGAAGGTCAACATATTGGGAGAATGCTTATATAAATACGCCCCTGAATAGTCGTCGTCCCCCCATTGGCAGAAATTTGGGGACGAATCTGAAATAGTCTCCAATATCCGTCACCTTTAGGGAACATGTTTGTTTTGCTGTGTAGTTTTCTATTTCGGGGTCTTCCAACTTCACAGCTTTAAGACTTGTGGATTTCAACTCCCAGAATTCCTCCTCCAGTCCATGTTAGCTCGGGGATTCTGGGAGTTGAAGTCTTAAAAGTTGCCAAGTTTGAAGACCCTTGTTCTATTTGAATTATTCCTTGCCTCTGGAGCACCCCTGTTTTGCAACAGAGGGAGTCCTCAACTTACGACCACAACTGAGCCCAACATTTGCATGGCCAAGCGAGGCATCGGGTTAAACGAACTATGTCTGTTTTAGTAGCTGCCTTAAAAAGTGGGGGAGGAAGGAAATCTGGAAGAGCAGTGCAGCAGTTTGGAAGCGAAAGTACATTCCAACTCTTCTCTTTAAAAGAGTGTAACTAAAATACCAGAGTTTTTGCCCACGAATATATTTAATTGGAGAATCTGATTTATGACACACCCAACCCGCAGGGGGGGGGGGAAACAGGGTCACAGGGGACTGTAAATGATGTAGGCCAGAGTTGGCTTCATACAGGGCAGTGCCAGTATGTCGCCTGTAATGGATCCTTTGAAGTTTTTTGAAGTTTGGCTCGAGAATCGTGATTTAATTAGGGCGATTGCTGGAATCCTGACAAAAGACTCTTGCTGCGGACCAGGGCTGTGACTTTACGTGTTGTTATTTGCTGTCCAGGTTCTGCCACGGTCTCTTACCCCCTTCTTGGTATCGCCGGAGAAAGAGAAAGCAAGATAGGGGAGATGAAGCCGAAAAGTTTCTCGGAGGTCTTACTGAGTCAGTTTGAAGGATTCGCCCGTCATCATGGCCACAAATTCTAGGAAGGAAGGAAAAACAAAATCTAGAGCAAGAAGGTAGAAATGTCCTTTTTTTTAAACCCGTGTCCTTCCTTTCTTGCCTTCCTCCCCCCCCAAAAAAAACATGTTGACAGAATGCCACAAAGGCTGGCCCTTAGCAGTAATTTTTCCACCCAGGACTCAGCTCTTCTGTTAGGCTAAGTGGAGACAAGAAGTTGGCCAGTTTGGTGGACCAAGGATGAAGTTCTGGAGGACATAGTTATGAACCGAAGGTGACCCAGATCCCTATGCTACCTTGCTTTGTTTCCATGGGGCGGAGAAAATTAAGTCCAAAACATGGTCATCACAAACTGTAACTTAAAGTCTAAACAAGCCAAACAAGTAATTAGTTTGGCAGGGCAGGAGCAAGAATTTCAGACTTGAAGGCATGGCAAAACTCACATGATTGGGAAGATGCCAGGAAAACAGAGCCACGACAACACAAGATAAAATCATGTTTGCTCCAAACAGCCTGCCGCACTCAGCCTGCCTTTCTTATAAACTTTCTTCCCAGGCGTGGCTAATGGAGGGAATCGGGGCCCTTTCCTCCCCCGTAAGCCATGCAACCCACGTTTCTCCCTTCCTCCCTGTGTGCCCTAGGATGCAGAGAGAGTGGGGCTGGTTCTTCATCTGAACTCCCTCTCCCTTGTTCTGCCCAGTCAGACCCAGTCAACTGTCCGGATTCAGACTCTGACAGGGGCATGACACAATACTGTCATTAGATGATCGCTTAGGCCAGGGTTTCCCAGCCTTGGCCAGTTTAAGTTAACATTGGACTTCAACTCCCAGAATTCCCCAGCCATCCTGATATGACCAATACCATTGTATACATGATGGACAATAGACAATAAAGGTTTTGAATTTATTTATGTAAGCATCTTTCCATGTAGGTCTCAGATAAATTGTCATTTATCCCACAAAATCAGCCCATGGTTCTACATCCATGTTAACCAACTCAAAAGTTAAAAGCGGTGTGAAATCAAACAGCAAAGAAGTCAAAAATCTACCACCCCCACCCAATTTGAAATCTCGGAATAAGCTTAAAGAGAGTAGGTGAAAATGTCCAGCCAATGGGTTTATTGCAAAATAAATAAATGTATTTTGCTGTGGTAGGTGGATCAGTTTCTATCCAGACGGCGCCTTCTAGTGGACAGTTGGAGGCATGGCGGGCCTGTTTGCTTTGGTGCTTTCCCTATAATTTCCCAATTCCACCTTTTTAGCCTCAGCTTTTCGCCAGGCTGCGGGAGAACTCTGGCATTTGAACTCCAAGGCATCTCACGGGGGAGACTGTTCCTATCTTTGCATAAGATAAAAAACAGGCAGTTAATCAACTTGCTTATGGCAAACCTAGGCAGAGGTTGTCACGGTTTTGTTTGTAACTCTTGTTTTTAAAAGTAAAGTCTACCAGTCCAGCTAAGTGCGGAGATGGAGCTGGAAGACGGAACTAAGTTTAAAAGGAAGGAACAGGTGCGCAGCATTAACAGTTTCGGCTGTATAACAAGCCAGCATCTAAATTCTTCCAGAGGAAGATATCCTGACAGGCAGCTTAGAGAAGTAAGAGCTTTTAATTTCAAACTAGGGGGTGCCAAGTATTTCTTCACAGTATTGTCATATGATTGCCTGAAAACTGCACACATGTATCCATATGATCTTCCATCCTTTATTCACCTGTTCAATGTTCAGAATTAGCACTTCCTTTTTTCCCTCCCTATCCTCTTTCCTTTCAGTGCCGAGACCTTTTAGACTGTTGACCTGCAGGCCAGGAATTGTCTTTATCTGTTCTGGGAGCCTTTGATAAATTAGTCTCGCTTTCCATAAATTAAAATCATTGCGCCCGTCTTGATTTATGTAAAACTGACTCGAAACTGTACGTTCTTCAAGGCAACCTTCTGGCTCATGTCATTGGATGGCAGCATTGGTGGTACTCAGTTTTTTTTACTACAGGTTCTGTGGGCGTGGCTTGGTGGGCGTGGCAGGGGAAGGATACTGCAAAATCTCCATCCTCTCCCCATGTCAACTCATAAAATATTTCTCTGGTCTTTTTAGAGTTGCAGTGCAGTAGCTTGCAAACTGAAACTGTATTCCATAAATGTTTTCAAAGATAGTAACTAGGAGACGGAAGTTTCTGCCTTGCAAAATTCTAACTGGAGAGCATGATTGATGACTCTGGGCTAGGGAGGTGTCCCATTGGAGAGTATGAATTACGATACACCCAGGCAGTGCTGGCACGTTAACTCCCAATAAATCCTTTTTTAAGTTTTTGGAAGTTTGGCTCGAGACTCATTATTTCAGAGGTGGGGTTTGCCGGTTCTCCGAACTACTCAAAATTTCCGCTACCGGTTCTCTAGAACCGGTCAGAACCGGCTGAATACCACCTCTGGATCAGGATGGGTAGGGATTATGCTTCCAGTACCTTCGTAGTCGATGGTCCCATCTCCGTCCTTGTCGGCTTCCTTCATCATGAGTTCAGCTTCGTGTTCGTTCAGCGGTTCTCCGGCGTTCATCAATACGTATCTAAAAAGGCAGAGAACACGAGAAGGCTTGAAGCCACCCCTTCTATCCTCTCCTTGGACCACTGTGTCTGACTCCATCACTTACTTGAGCGTGTCCCACTCAATGTAGCCCTTGTGTTCTTTGTCGAAGACTTTAAAGGCGGCTCGGAGTTCCTCGTCCTGGTTTTTGGATTTCTCGTGGTAAATGCCCATCAACACCAGAAAGCCATCGCAGTTGAAGGTGCCTTTTTCTGGAGGAAAAAAAAGAGACAGAGGTCAATCAAATCTGCATAGACAGAGGGATAGAATCAAGATCACATGAAGTGTTAATACTGCTTTATAAGGCCACACTTGGAAGACTGCATCCATTTTTGGTCGCCACGATTTAAATAAAGATGTTGAGACGCTAGCAAGAACGCAGAGAAGAGCCACGAAGACAATTAGGGGATTGGAGGTTAAAACATACGAAGAACGGTCGCTGGAACTGGATATGTCTAGTTTGACGAAAAGAAGTACTTGGGAGGGACATGATTGTAGTCTTCCAATATCTCAGGGGTTCCCACAAAGAAGAGGGAGTCAAGCTATTCCCCAAAGCCCCTGATGATAAAACAAGAAGCAACGGATGGAAACTCATCAAGGAGAGAAGCAACTTAGAACTAAGGAGAAATTCTTGACAGCGAGAAAAACGAATCATGCCTCCAGAAGTTGTGAATGCTCCAACACTGGAAGTTTTTAATAAGCGATTGGATTTTATCTGAAGTGGTGTACAGTTTCCTGCCTAAGCAGGGGGTTGGACTAGAAGACCTCCAAGGTCCCTTCCAACTCCGTTATTCTATATTCTGGACTTGTTCCCGATCAACTTCATCTTGGGGCGGCTGCCATCTTTTTGCAGGCAGAGATAGGAGTCTTCCCCCAAAAGTTTGAGGACGCAGAAGGAGACAGGAGGGTCACCAGCAATGTCCTGAGGTCCCTGGGTGGAATAGAGAGGAATATGATGCCCACTTTTAAGGCTGTTACAGCTGATCTCAGTTATGGCTCACCTCAGAAAGTAAGAGAGGTCAGGAGGATGGGAGACCACCAGGAAATTTTGACTGGTCAACTGGAAGCCAAAGAAAACGAAACCCTCAGAAAACCACAATAATAAACTTTGGGTTAAAGTCACCGGGAGTTGAGCTTTGCTCAAAGGAGGTTTTAAACATGAATATCACTAAAATATCCCACATAACATTAGCAGAGCTCAGATTGATCAATCTTTCAGGAGAACTTCAGCTCAATAACTGCTTGCAAGGATTGGGGCCTTATTGCAATGTGATTTGTTTTTTAAATTATTTTAATATTAAAATCCAAAGTTCCCATTTTCTTTTAACACTGTTAAGTAAGTTGTCTATTTTTTTGTAACCCTTCAGCACCCAGGGACGTTTGTCATTTATTTTGCCTTCTGGGAAATTACGCTTTGGCTGATCTTCCTTAAAACATGGAAGGGACTCAATCTGCTTACAGTTTCCAGAAAGTTCTGTATTAGATGAAATTTGCATAAACCTCTTCAAAGAAGTCACAATTTGTCCTCAATGGGGAGTGGGGGGGGGAGAACCCCTTTTTCCCCTTCCAAAAGAAACTGTTTGCATAATCATTCATTTACAGCCAGGCTGTTGTGCCGTGTCAAGCTTGTAAATACAACTCCGGTGATGAGGGAGGAATGGAAGGAAATCAGCCAAAGAAACAAGCAATCCATTTCCTGAAACTAGGAAAGAAGGTCTTTCCTTGTGGGAGGGGGAAGGAAACCACATCAGAAGGATATGCAGGGCTCAGGAAGATGGGTCTTTGCGTATGGAACTCCTGAAAAATCCTAGCAAATAAGCCGTAACAGCCAGATTATCAGACAAGGATCAAGAGAACGGTGAAGGACACGAAATTCTGGAGGACACCAATGGTTCTTGCGGAACCTAAGGCAGCCCCTTGGGACGGCCGCCATCTTACTGTCTTTGTCGACATCCTTGGCCATGTTGGCGAGGTCTCGCTTGGTGGGGTTGATGCCGATCAAACTCATCAGGCTTTCCAAGTCGTCCGTCTTCACCAAGCCGTTCCCCTCTTCATCAAACATCTCAAAGATGCCTTTGTATTCGGTGATCTGCTCCGGGGTTAGAGTTCCTGCCTGCGGCGGGAAGAAAGCCAGCGTGAACATTAGACAAGGGCAGAGTAGACTTTGGGTTGGCTGAGATGCTGCTTCTCCTAGGGGGCCAATTGTGGCACTTGGAGATGAGAAGAAAAGAAGATTTAAAGAAGGAACTTCCAGAAGGCTAAAAAAAAATTAAGGGTCCCTCTGATCTCCAGTGGAGATCGAAAGGAATGGAGCAGCCACAAAGGAGGTCTCATCAGTGGGCAACACTTAACAGAGAGGATCTGGAACATATCCTGTCAGGGTTCCGACGGATGCCCTAATTAATTCATGAGCCTCGAGCCAAGTTTCAAAAGAAATCCAATTATTTATTAGGAGCAAAATGTCAGGCATTTTTCCCAAGTGCAGTCGGCTCTGCCTTACGTAATTGACTGCCCACCTATGACCCTGTTTCCCCCCCTCCTCCCAGGGTGTGTCATAAATCACATTCTCCAACCGAAGCACATCGATGGAACCCTGACACACCCATCCTATCGAACTTAGTAGGATGGGCAGATGCCCTACAGAAGAGGTGGCCCCACAAGAAACCCAACCCTGTGCCCTGTAGGGCTTTCAAAGTGATAACCAGCACCTTGAATCACACCTGGACAGTGCAATTCACACACCAATGATGTTACTCAGGTGAACTGCAGGGCGCCCGTTGGCTACTTGTTGCCAATGCATTCTGAACCAACCACAGTTCCTGGATGGTCTACAAGGGCAGCTCCACATAGAGCACATTGCAGTAATCCGAATGGGAAGTGATTAAGGCATGGGTGACTCTTGCGATCACTGATCTACTTAAAAAAAAAAAAACATTCACAAGGTGACCCGAAATATAATAATTCCCATGTTTCCTCTGGGGAAGTAAAACAGATATCAAAAGTCGGAGAAGGAAATCATGCAAAACAGGTGGGATTACATTCTGCAAAAAAAAATGTAGGAGATTAAGCGTCCTTTATGTCTTATAATGTGTATGTGACCGTTCCCCTTGCCTATATACACCGCGATAGACTTTATTTTGGCAAATAGTAGAAAATGAATCATTTTCGATGGTCAGACGTAGCCTTTCCAGCCCTACTGCCAGTTCCACTCACTTGAGGAAAGTCGGTTTCTAGGATTATGAGAAAAATAAAAAAAATAAAAAATTCCCTTCTCGGCTTATTTTACTGACTCCGAAAGACGCCTGCCGAAGCATTGCCAATTCCCTGCATGTTTAAATCAAAATCAAAAGTGCGTGCTTCACACAACGCACACCAAAATGCCCCTTACTAAAATGCAGGGAAAATACATTTTGAAATTTAGGAGCAGCAAAACAATCACTTTATCCCCCTTTCCTAAACTATTGTGATTTTTCTCTTTTAGAATTCAAATGCACACGTCTAGCCTTTTTATTCATGCCGGTATTCACCAATTTTCCAAACGGCTGCAATTTTTTAAAATCCATTTTTTTTTATCCCTTCTTTCCTGCACCTTTTCTCTTACTCGTCATCTTTTCCTTTTTTGAGGTGTCAAATCAAACATTTACTATGGTTACAGAGTCATAATAAACATCTGCAATAGTTAAGCCAACTCAAACAAGTTTTCAGACTCCGGGACCGGAGGAATTTCAATACAGAGGCACAGAACGATACAACCTGTTCGTTTGGGATAAGCAACACTTATAAACCAGGACATTTTTCTGCAAAAGATGAATAAAAACTACCTGGGATTCTCTTAGAGAGATCCCCACGAAAGAGGATCCTATGGCAAAAGAGCTCCACTCAGCCATCCAGCCAAGGATAGATGAAGGGAAATATTTTTTGCAGAGGTTTCTCTTCCAGCTGTTTTAGAATGTTGTAGTTAGGGGTAAAATCTCATTTTTAAAAAAAAAAAATCTGCCAATTGATTGGAAATAGAGCAAACGGGAAACTAGAGACCCACAAACTGCAGAGCAGCTTGAGGTTCCTGTCCCTAGAGAAAGTTTTTTTTAACATTTATACGCGGTTAGAAACTTACCATTTTCTTGGTATTTTCCGCCCTGGATGGCACCCTTCAGCTAACTGGTGGTGGGATAGGACATGCGGGCAGAAATGGTGGGGAAGCTATTCCTTTGTACGGTTAAGGAGAGAGTGCAGGAGTCTTTAATCCCAGGGGAGGAAGGATATTGGTAGCCTTTTATGGGAATGAAAGGTGGAGGGTCCTATTTATGGGGGAAGAATTTGTCTTAATGCCACTGCTAAGCCTTGAAGAAGGTCTTGCATTGAAATGGTGCATCTGCTTTGTTTGGGGCGGAAAACTGGAGCTCTCTGGGCAGATGGCAAAACGACTTCCTTCCTTCCTTCCTTCCTTCCTTCTTTCCTTCCTTCCTTCCTTCCTTCCTTCCTTCCTTCCTTCCTTCCTTCCTTCCTTCCTTCTGACTTCCATTTCCTTTCTTCCCACCCTCATTTCAATTTCCTTCTTTCTCATTTCCTTCTTTCCCCCTTTCTCACCTTTTCATTTCATTCCCTCCCTCCTTCCCCCCCTTCCTTCCCACCTTCTCATTTCTATTTCCTCACTCCCCCTCTCTCTCTCCCCCTGCCTCCTTCCCTTCCTTCCCACCTGATTTCCATTTCCTTTCTTCCCAACCTCATTTCAATTTCCTTCCTTCTCATTTCCATTTCCTCCTTCCCTTCTTCCCTTCCTTTCCATTTCCATTTTCTCCCTCCCTTCCTTTCTCCCTCCCTGAAGGACTTCAAGCTGCAGTGCCTCCACCAGTGGGGGAAAAAAAAGACAGATGTTGCCAAAGGTTGGAGCATCTGCAAACTTCAGCCCAGAAACTGCTCTGAAACTGCAGACTTGGTCCCAAAAGGTGGGTGATTTTTCTCCCCGTTCTCCAGGGATAGAGAGAGAGAAAAATATATATATAGATAGTCTTTGATTTAGCATCACAATCGAACCCCAAAGTCCCACCCATTTCATCTGTGGCCCTGACAACCGAGTCTCTTCTCCCTTCTCCCCCCCAAATGTGAAGTGTGACCCCCCTCGTAACGGAGGCCAAATGAAGCAGAGAACAGGTTGGGTTTTAAACGACCTGCCATCGAGACATCCACCCGCACACACACACACACACAGATTGCAAAAAAATAATAATAATCTCCAGGGAAGGTGGGCTTCTTTCATGGCCGAAGCGACCAAAACGAAACACTATATGATGGCTGTCAGCCAGCCACCTGTTCTTGTCCCTAAACAAGAGTGAGCTGCAGACACCCACGCCAAATGGCAAGAGGGTCCCTAGAGACCCCCGACTCCATCAACCGTGCACCAAATAAGGATATCTTTTTGGGAGCAAGTGTATTTTGAATATTCCCCTCCCCCCCCCAAGGGCCTGGAAGCTGTGAAATAACCTCTGGAATACATCTATACCTGTATCTATATCTATCTATATCTATCTATATAAATCTTTCTATCTATCTCTATCTCGATCTATATATCTAATCTATATATCTATATTGTATCTATATATCTATATCTATCTTTGTATCTATATTTCTATCTATATCTCTCTACCTCTATCTATCTATCTATCTATCTATCTATCTATCTATCTATCTTTCTATATTTATATCTATATATCTGTCTATATCT